TACTGCGAGATTTGATAGAGAGATTTGTGAGCCAGGGGTTGCACAGAGACCGCGGGGAGGTGTGACTGTGAGGGAGCGATTTTGTTTATGTTGTTCTGGAGGACGCTTCTTGCCTGTTTTCTTCTTTGGGAGATTACTTATCAGCTACTGTTTCATAATTGGAAAGCAGCTATCCATGAGACTTTTATCGCGGGAGCTGTCTTTAAGTTTCTTTGGTGTTGAATAAAAGAAATCGTTTGCATTGAGTTATGAGATGTTTAGAAATCACACTGAGCAACGACTTCTTTCGGAGACAAAAGCACGAAAAATCACTTTTGCATTCTCGAAGGGCTCTGCGAATGATGGTGAGCAACTTTTTGACGAAATCGATTTTTTTTCTCGTTTCATGAAAGGAAAAGTAACACTCAGACAACGAAAACCGTTCGCACTACGACACTGACTCGAGGTCTATTTCGTGGACAGTGGACGTTACATTCGCTGCTCACTTGGACGACAAATTCATGGTTCGTTCATTCGTTGTCTTCAAATGTTGTGATCGATAAGGTCATTCATCCAAACCCATACATCCTAAAGGCCGGAGGAAAAGTAGATGGGTGTGGGTAAGCGTTGGTTGGCAAACTAAGGGAAACCCAAGTGCTGTGGATGAAGCGCGTAGCGGTGTGAGCGGAGCTTATATCTGAAGACGTGAAATGGAATTAGACCAGAGGTGAGTTTCGAACCCTGCCCTGTGGGTAATGAGTACCGATTTCGACAGAGTCACGCCTACTGAGTTTTACTCTCATTGCTTTAAAAGCAGACTTCGCTATGAGCCCAGCGAAAAGTACCTAGGTAGCGAGGTTGGAAACAGAAGCGTATGTGCTAGTGACTTGCCGGTGCAGAGGAAACAAAAGGAAATTGTCAAAAGAGCTCCAAGTAAGACCCTATCTGTTCCAAGCGAGAGGCAAAGAATCGATATGGATATCGGGCGAGAGGCCAGAGAAAGCAGCGAGAGAGTATGCAAACGAGCAAGACAGCAGGAAGGCATCTATCACTGTGGGCGGGGCCACTTGAGCAACCCTGGGTTTGCCGCCGTTGCCTTACCTTTTTCTGATGTACTCATCTGATGTGCTCACATAGGTTGTCATCAGCATAAAACAAGTACTTCATAGTTGCTTTCAGTCCGCGATTAGCCCCATCTGCCATCTGAGGTGGCACCAGATCACCCTGCTGCTGCTGCTGCTGAGAGTCTTCAGTGACGGAGTATCTTCCAGTGAAGACGGCTGGTAGATATGTTTCAGAATAATCCTCTTTTCGACATCCTTCGAGAATTGCGAAGAAATTCGCCGTTCGGACTACCTGAACTAACTCAGAAGAATAACAAAGCACGTTCGGCTTGCTCACCTGCGAGGTGGATCCTTGCCGAGGTCCGCTGCGGTAGATGTGTGCCGCGTCCGTCGCTCGGAAGAGCACGGAAGCGACATCCGGATAGTGGTGGTAGCTGGATTAATCTTTGTGTCCTCGCCCTACTGCCCACAACTTGCAGCGCTTCTGTCGATACCAAAACCCGCAGCGAGTAGCTGGCAAGCTGCCAAATACGCAGACAAATGCAGAGAATGTCGCTGCTTCAACTAAATGTGCCAGGGCGCTAAAATGTGGTGCATTTGGCCATGCTTGGATGTATGGCAAGCCGTGCGACACGGTGCACGTCTGCGTACTCTGCATGCGAGTAAAGACCTTTCACTACTACTCTGCAGCTGCCATTCCACATTCGCTGTCAGTGACGAAAATGATTTAGGCAGCGTTCATACTTCGCGACAGCAGCGGCGATCGCGGCGATCGGGGCGACCTCGGCGATCGCCGCAATCGCCGCGACCGACGGGGCGACCTCGGCGATCGCCGCGATCGCCGCGATCGTCGGTACGTGGCAGAGCGCGCCCCAACGCTATTATGGACTGCTCGCTTGATAAATAAGGGAATCCAACTTGTGAGACCTTCTTTTCTCTTAATAATGGCTACTAACTGATAACTTACGACTTTCTATACATAAGCGGATCTGGAATATGAGGTAAGGAGGTTTCACTTCTTTTTAGGTCGGGATGAGGCCAACTCCATTTCCTGGGTGAGCTTCTTTTTGTTCTTTTGTTTTGTTAAGAAAGAAAAAAAAGAACAGAAAGAAACTCACCTAGGAACCAAAACACTAATCATTTTACGCAACATCAACAGGTGAAAACTTTATAACCTCATGTATAAGCTCGACGAATGAAAAAAGAAACAATAAAAACCTACCCTAAATGAAGCTCTCACGCTTTTTGCTCATTTCTATCCTGAATCAAGAAAGAAAATAGAAAACAAAAGCCATTAAGTTGGGTTCACCTTTCTTTGTGTCAAACCAAGCTTCAGTACCTAAGAAAATTGCAGTTAAAGGAAAAAAGCATGAAATTGAGTCGCTTCTTCCCAAAAGCCTTCGGAGCGCAAGTAATAGCGTTGGGGCGCGCTCTGCCATGTACCGACGATCGCGGCGATCGCCGAGGTCGCCGCGCCGCTGCTGTCGCGAAGTATGAACGCTGCCTTACTTCTCCAATCGTGGCACCCGTCCACCTCACACATAGCAAGGATTATCTTCGAAGGTTAGCCTGCGGCTTCAGGTCGCTTTTTCAAGGGGGCCTACTGATCAACTAGTGGACCCTTAGGGAGGGAAGATCAGCTGGTTCAATAATGATTCATTCAAAGGTTCGGCCTATCCTCCGTCTGTGGGTACTCCATTTGTACCTAAATGTTCATATGTATTCATTTCAGGCAGAAACCATGATAATTCATGGCATATTGGAAACGACTTCCTTGTCTGAGGTATAAATTTCCATATTTTGCTTCTTTTACTTGCCACTCCTTCAGAATTATTCACTATTCAGATAGTTCGAGTAGCAGTTCTAAAGTTCAAGGAGTCCAACGAGTTTATAGCGAACTTCCTTCCAAAAATTGTTGTCAGCGGTACTCGGTTCATTGATATTTTGTATAATGTACCGCGAATAGCAACAGCGAAATTTGATCTGGAGAGGTTCCTTTTACGGCTTTCCACAGAATGAGACTTGTTTTATACTGTTCGCTGCATTAAGGTACCAGCGTACCAAGCCGACAGAGTCTTTACTGGAAAATCTGGAAGGCAAAGTGGTTGTCGACAAACCGAAATTCTCAGTCATCCTCAAGGATCAATCGACTAAATTTAGTTCCAAGGTGACATGTGCACCACTGTGGTTGCAAGTTTCTCATTGCTCACCTCAAAGTGAGAGAGTTTCGCGGCATGCGGCATTGCCATTGACTACTTCTCGATGTACGTGCACTGTTGTCGAGATTAGACTCAAAGTGTCGCACTTGTCATTACCTCCAGCTTGAACTGCGGTTTAAACAAAGGGATGTGAAGATTTCCGCATTCAGTTTTTTTGACTTTTCGGAATCTTCGACATCGCTGTAGCCACGCGTTCACTCTGTATCCCGGAGATGGGGAGGGCGTGGCTGCGTACCTCATTTGAACGTGGAAGTAATTGCTCTTCTTGTGATATTTCTTTTTGGTACAGCTGTTATCATGCCTTTATCCAGTTTGAGGCAGTGACAGGGACATAGCTGCCGCACACAAAAATAGCCCACGTCTGAAAAATGCCGCATGCATCTACGTAACGTTGAAGGGAAGTGTGCTGCTATGCCCTTCCTATCTCCGGGATATGTAGTACAACCAGTGGAGCTTACCGAGGCCGGTGATCCTTGAGAACCACATTTAAGATTCTTGAGAGTTACTCGACATGTTCTTCCCTTTTGTTAAGTGAGTCGTAATTTAGTTTATGCCTTCTGCTCAAGAAAGTGATCTAATCGACTTCGTCCAGACCCAGAAAGTGCTTACCAAGCCGAGGAGTGTTGGAGCTCATGTAAAATTTCCCTTTCGTTTTTCTTTCATGGAAGCGGCTTTTATATTCGCAACTATGCTACTTGCATTTATTTCAGTATCTCAACCTTTTCGATCATCTACACAACTGCCTTTCGGTGGAATTGATGTGCCTTCGAAATGAGGAAGGTAAGCAGTGTTATCAAAAGACATCAAATTTGCACCTATGTAGATGGTTCACAGCATGCAGTGCATCATCATCTCCTTTACGAAACAGCAGCCCCTATTTTCACGTGAACAGATATCCTTTACCCAACTACTAAGATGGCGCAAAAGTCTTTCACCCTAACTTGTTATAGTTTTCCAACAACTATTACTTTATTCTCCTGTCATTTTTTTGTTGCTATTATCACCCGTGAGGCGGAGGTGGTGTAGTGACAAGTGGCGCGCTTACCACTCGCGCGGCGCCGGGTTCAAATCCCGGGTCGACTCCCGCCCAGGCCAACCAAGCCTTCTACCCTCCGGGGACGGTAAATTGGTACCAGATTCGTCTGGGAGGATAAAACACTGACTTGTACATCGGCTGGCCACCGCAAGTCATTGTATAGGCCACATCGCATTCAATAAGCCACTACGATTCTGAATGGAAGTAGAATGCGTGCCGCATCCCACAAAGGGATTGATCAACGGCGAAGACTCTTTTATTATTATCCATTCGTAGGTATTAACTAGCAATATAACAGCCATCATGATCCCTAAGACTGCGCTCATACTGTGCGACGTCGTCGTCAACGTCGACGTAACCGACGAAACCGACGTTTTCGACGACTAGAGACTAGATACGTATCGATCCACGTGTCGACGTAAACGACGACAGAAGATTAGATACGTATCGATTGACTTCAAAAACGTCGCTTTTGTCAGTTTCGTTGGTTTCGTCAGTTACCTCAGTTTCGTCGGTTTCGTCTGATCGATAGGTATCTAATCTTCGTGGTTTCATGTATTGTGTGGTGGGAAAACATAGGTTTCGTCGGTTACGTCGGATCGATATACATTTAATCTTCGCGAACTGTAGTTGCAGAAAACGCCGTCACGTCGACGTTGACGACGACGTCGCACGGTATGAACGCAGCCTAAGTCTGTCCCTCGCTAACTACGGTATCATTGTTAGAAGTCGATAACTCGCGCCTCTGTAAGTCGAAAGTGCCAACTCTCACCCTGCAGCTCTTTCTAGTCAGCAAATTGTTTTCAGCTAGATGCAGTTTTAGTGACCGGAACAAATGGCAGTCAGGGGCAGTCTATTCTGGAGAGCGGGACTGCACTAGGACTCCCAAATGAAATCTGGCGAATTTCAGCCTGACTTTCTGCGGTCAAAACAGCACATGAACGAGGCTGGAGGGTAGTGATACCCCGGTGCAGACTCCATACTTCGCCTCGTGTGTGTTTCGTTGCGAGAACTCGGTATCGATGCAACGGCATCACTTTAAGGATTGCTCCGGCCGGGTGTGGAGACGGCACTCGGGTATCACTGCCCTGAAGCCCCGTTTCCATGAAATTTCGGCGGGGAAAATGGCACGCCACTGCGGCTGTGCCCATGGACCCATTTACCTCGTATATGGCAGGGAGCGTCCTTGAAAATTAGTTTACTGTCTTTGGTATAAGAAATGTAGTCAGCGGTAAGAACAGTTTTACATATTGGATTGGCCCATAAGTAAGACATTTTTTCCATGATTGCTATATGGAAAAATATATGATCAAGAAAAGATGATTCCGAGGCGGCTTGAAGTTGACCGATTAGGAGGGTGCTTGATAATAATAAGGAAACAATCCATGACCTCTGACGATTCCCCTTCTATGGTATTAAGCTCCACGAATAAGGTGATTCGGAAAGCTCTCAGTTGGACTTAATAGGGCTGTCTGATGCTCGTCTGTGAGGCCAACAATCTTCGAATGAAATCTTCGAATCACTTCGAATCACTTAAACCTTTATAGCATTTCTAGGAGACATAATCTCTCAGCCGTATGCCTAGCAGCTGAGCCTGTGAGCCCTTAGCCTTCTAATTTGAGGTAAAAAAAGAGAGGCTGTAGAAAATGCTCAATTTCGTCGACCTGACACTCCAGTTTGAGCTTCTAAATATTCGTGAAAAGAGAAACTTCAAAAAGCGAAGACCATCGTATAGGGCAAGGAATTCTCTACAAATCAGTATAGAACTAATTGCAAAACTTTTCACTTCTAGCGCGATATTTTGAGTGGGAAAAAACGCCATTAACTTAT